GACTAAGAATTTGGGTCTTACACTCTTTCCAAAAGCACAAGAAATTTTTATTTCGGACTTGTAAACCCTTTGGTCCTTACGATTTAATTTGCAGAAGGTTTCTATCTTTGAATTTAATGGCTCCTACATTTCTAAAATGGATTTTATATTCAAATTTGGGCACCCAGTTTGTTGGTACTTTAATAAAACATTTTATGCATTTTACTTTAAGTGTTATCAACCCTCTATCACATTTAATTCTAGAGCTCAGCATTAGCAAATTCACTACACCAACAACTTATCAACATAGCCAAAAAAAGCTTCATAAAAGCTATGTTTCTGTCACTTTTTAATTTTTTTACTTAAAATCCCATAAGAAGGATGTTGTATTTCAAATATCCTTTGTTTTGTTTTGTTTTTGGTTTTGGTTTTGGTTTTTGCTGGTACCGGGAACCGAACTCACGACCTTGTGCTTGCCAGGCAGGCGCTGTGCCGCTGAGCTAAATCCCCAGCCCCTCAAAGATCCTTTGAAAGACTCTAGCAAGGCTCAGCATAAGCATCTATATAAATATCTTAGTATCAGCAGAAATCAGACAAGAATTTTTAAATATATGAAGGTAAAATGAACAAGCATAACAAAAAGAAACAAGATGTATAGAATTATGTAAACAGACCATGGACCTCAATAAAAGATGCAGATACTGGAAGCTATTCCTAGTGATTAACAGGAGAACTTAAGACTATAGCACTATTAATTCTTAAAAATGGTAGCTGGTTTTCCAAACTTCAAAGTAATTCCAATAAAAACAAGAAGTTTTAACTTGTGTTAAATTATGTAACCTATGTATGTAATTATGTACATTTTTTAAAACACAAGTTGGAGCCACTGTATTATTATCTACTTATATACTACTCATCATCACTTTTTTTTCTTTTCCTCATTTGGTTCATTTTATTCTCTAGTCTCCACTGGCACAAATCATTCATGTTTGTATATTCTATATGTATATTCTTCTACTCTCTATTTTTAACACAAACGTACACATACATCCATAACAGTATTTAGCGTTTTATTCATATAATTTAAATTTTACATAACAACTTTCTGTATGTCTCATTTTGTAACTTTTGGTTTTACGTTGTATTGTGTTTGGAGTGTACTACATTCTGAGGTATAGATCTCATTAAATACATAAAACTACGGTATTCAGTTATATATTTTTTTCAGTTATATTATTATACCACATTTCATCTGTTTATCTATTTCCTCCCGTCATACTGACACAGAGCAATTTGCAGTTTCTTGTTACTAGAAACAATAAATAGCTTATACTTCCTTTGTACTTTTGAACTTCTCAAGGTATGAAATTAGAAGTGACCTACTGTTACATGGTATACAGACTTTAAAATTTGGCCAATATGTGTTGTAAATTTTTTCAAAGTGCAATTATTTATTCCCACAGTTTCCTGTTTATTTGCCAGTCATTTTCTCTTAATAGTTTTTAAAAAGTTACTTTTTACATTTCAATAGTTGATTTATTTAGAGTATATTTTATTAATGGTAGGAGATAGAGGCTTTCCCTTATGTTTTTTTCCTTGTGGTGAGTCGGTTTCCCCAATACCATTTGATGACCACCTTTCCCCTTCTGATTTTCAAAGCTGTATTATTCATATGTGAATTTCCTATATAGAGTTGGGTATACACTGCTATTGTTTTATTTTATTGATCAATTTTTTTACATTCTTAGTACACTAGTGTTTATGGCAACTGTAAGTTTATAACAGTTTAATATCAAATACAGCTTCTCTAAGATTTTTCTAAGTTACTTAATATTTCTCTCAATCTCTTACTCTCCTTTTCCCTGTGCTCTCTCACTACAAAGTAGGGTATACAGGCATCTCTTATTCACTCAAAATCTAGTACTTAGCAATAGCCTAGCAAATCCTATAACCACTAATACATTTCATACCCTTCACACCCCAGAGAAACACTTCTCTAGCCTATGCCTTTGAAAAAGGAGGATTCTCATTATTTCTACTATTTTGTTTATGTTGTGTACATTAGAAATACTCTATTAAAAATGGGAGGAAGAGAATGGGATCACAATGTAGGAGGAAATAGGATGCCACACTGAATACAAAGATGGTTGTAGGTTGTGCTGATGCTGACAGATGAGTCGGTTTCAGAATAAAAGTAGCATCTGAGAAATATCCAAGGGTTTATATAAGAAAAAGACATTAATACATTGTGAAATCCATCCTTTAGCAGAGCAAAAATGCTACTGATCTTCCATAATGAAGTATTATTTCCTAACAGTACCAAGTGTTCATTTTTTCATTTTGTATTTCATTTGTAGCTCTAGAAATATTAGCAAGTTCAGCAAATTAACAGTAACTTGCAACAGTTGCACATAGTGCCTGAGGAACATTTTACAGTATTGCCTAATGTATAATTTTATTTATGTAACATGAGCCATAATCTTCATGACAATGACCTGGAATTTTTACAATAGCAGTGTGACCTTTAAGAAAAGTCGAGTCTCCAGGAAGAGTCCCAAGTGATTAACTGGGTGTAAAATTAATAATAGACCCTGATAACCATTTACTGATTGTGGGGGTCACATATAAACTCCGTGTTCCTGGAAGGATCACAAGTTAAATTTTGCTACTCTTACTAGGACATCTTCTTGTTCCAACAGCCTAGATAAAAAGCACTTCTCCCAAAACTCCTTAGTCTAATTTTGCTGCTAGGACCTAAGTAATGAACTAAGACCTACAGTCAACCAATGTAAATGTAAATGTCAACCAATCAGGAATGTATCCCTGCATTCCAGCTTTACATAAAACCAATGAGGACTGAGCACACTTGGATCCCTCATTTGCATAAGCATACTAAAGTTCTAGGAAGCTGGCAAGGAGCTGCATCTATGTAAGTCAGCCTCTCTTTGTTCCCTAGGACGGCGTTTCATTTTTTAGTCAAGGATACTTCTTTTTGGTCTGTAAAAACTGTTTTTTAACAAATGCCTCCTTTTCTACCTTAAATTTTTTCCTCGTGAATCTTTGTTGAAAGCAGTTAGCTGGCAAGCAATCACAAACCACTAAGTTTGTTGTCATAAAAATATGTAATAAGATATAATTATTCAAAAACAATTTCAGTGTTATTATATCTTTAAATTTAATATTCATCAACATTAGGATAATTTTAATATTCCCTCAAATTTTAAATAATACTTTTACACCTACTGTTATGGTTAGCTCTAAAATGTCCCCAAATTTTCATGTGTGTGGATGGTGGCTGAACCTTAGGGGTGCTATACTCATTAGCAAAGTCATTCATTAAAGAACTCGGTAGGTGAATGCATTGGTAGAAGGTGGGGCCTATCTGGAAGTGAATCACTGGGAGTGTTACCTAGAAGGGTGTGTTCTTGTCCCTAGTTCCTTCCTTTTGCTCCCTGTTTTCTGGCTACTACAGCTGGAGCCCCCTTTCCTCTGTCATGTCCCTGCCATCCTGCTTCTGCCAGGGAGCCACCAACCACAGACTGAAACTGTGAGCCAAAATAAACCTGTCCTTTAAGTTGTGGGTGTGAGGTATTGTGTGTCAACAATGAGAAAGCAAGACACCTATTCCACGTTTTCATAAATACATACGCAAATCTGATACATTCTGAATGTACTTTTTAAACCCTTAAGTCATTAATATCACTAGAACAGAAAATAAGTTTATCATGACAGCGATTTTTCTAAATGACAGAAAAAATATGGAATATATTTATTCATACAATAATGTATAAATTATTGTAGATCTTTCTTACTCAAAATCACCAGCCCACTACCAAATATTCATAATAAATACATTCATTTATCTTAGGTATTTTTGCCAATACTCATTTATAAAAACAGCTTTACACATATTTTTCTATTTTGTTGCAGTTAAAGTGTACCTAAAAAAGTGGAGACTGAGACATTTCAGAATCTAAGAACTTAATGTAAAACTTTACTTAAAATATATTGTAGAGGTCGCTATACTCATTATCTATGGCCAACAGCTGTTCGGACAGACCTACCCACAGTCATTTTTAAAAAATAATTTTGTGATCACAACTAAAACAACTGGAGGAAATACATTTCACAGAATGCCCTGGAACATGAGAGCAAAAGATAAAAATGGCCAAGAAGCAAGTTAAGGTAAGGTGGTTTTAATTTTTAGTCTCATTGTGCAACAAGTCGTCAACAAAGGAAACATGAAAAAAATTAGACTCTATACAGTTTTTTAAATTGGAAAAGAAAATAAATGCTCCAGTACACTGCCCCATCAAGGCTGCACAAATGCTGGCTGCCCCAGAACCAACACCACCTCTACCTGCTATAACACCAAAAAAAAAAAAAAAACGCGCAAACGAAAGGAAAGGCTAACTCTAGAAACAATATCATCAGGAATAAACAAATGGTTTGACAAAGTATACACAACAACATAACCTAGGAAACCCAACACAGAAGTTTACGCGCGGGGCGCATCATCTCCCAATGAACGGACAGATCCGAGTCCCCCGCGGTCATTCAGCACCAGCAACACGGCCTAAGGGACTTCGACCCCCAGGGAGGAGCAGTCGCCTCCCCCTCTGCTCACAGAGGCCTTAAGGGAAGATTCGCGACTGCCACACCTCGGAAGAAGGGCGCTGGCAATCAAACTGCCCGGGAGACGTCGGAGGCGGACGGGAAGGCAGGCCCCGCCCCCGCCACGCCCCCTCGGGCCACGCCCCCTGACGCCTCGCCCTCCTCTGGTCACGCC